ACCAAACTTCTTTCATAAAGTTATTAATTTTTTTTCCTCCATTCTTTTTGTTGTTTTATACTCTTGCTTGCTTTTCAGAATCTAGCCTTTTCTTCATACTTCATTTTTTCAATTCAAAACAGGGGTCCTTGGGGCTAAAAATCCAGAGATAAATAAAAAGGTCAAAACCTTTATTTCTACAACAGAATCTGCAATCTGATATGCCGGAGACCTGACTGCCAATTCTCTAGCCATACTCAAATTCTTCCCAGGCGGGCTTAATCAAAGAGCAGAGCGAGACAGTCCATGCTAAGAAGTGCTCAACTGTGAAAAACAGGCTTTTCAAGAGCTCTGTCAGGTACTGGTGGCTTGTTCTACAGCTCTCGGTGTCCCTGGATATCCTCCCTGGATCCCATTAGGAACCCAAAGAGCATATGAATGGGAAAATAAGGTTGGAACAAGCCCAGAAACTAACTGGTCATTTTCCCAGGTGCCCCTGGTTGTAGCCTCAACTTTATCCTTGTGAAAGAGTACTAGTCCTGGTAATGCTGTCTCGTCTCTGATAACACGCAAACTTTCCTGTCCTTCCAGGAGGTTGTCGGATGAGGAAAGGAAGGGAAAGACTTAGAAAATACAAGCAAGGAAAGAATCTGGTGTTACTGAGCACACATGAGTGTGTATAAGCCCAGAGGAAGAAAGAAGAGGTTAAAAAAAAAACACTTTCAGACAAGGAGAGAGTCAACTTTAATGCAAACCCTGAACACCATCTGGAAAGAGTGGTCTAGAAAGAACATTCTAGGGAGGATCTCTTTCTGAAGCGGCTGAGGCAGGCTAATGTGTAAGTCACACAAAGAACCTCGAAAGCATTTCATTTTTACTATGGGTTTTGTAAACGTTACCTGGGCTCACTAAATAGGTCTCCTGGCGGTATAATTTCTAATCGAGTTTATAGTAAAACATGGCGACTTTTACCTTTCCATTAGATTCTATTTGAAATCCCTGAACTTATGCTCCCCTGAAGGTTTTATACCCTGAAGGATCCAGCAATGACAGGCTCAATAACGGGAAATTGGACGAGCA